AGTAAATTTATGATTTTTATTGCGTTTTGAATGAAAGTTTCTTGAAGAAATTAAACAATACGAATATTATAATAGTAGTAATTATTATCTAATCAAAAAATAACTATTATTAAAGCTCTATAGGATAAGAATTCATGCTTGAAATTGGTTTGTTTTTTGAGTGAAAAATTTGACGTAAATCGATCTGTATTACGATTTCACCTGAGAGAAAGCGTGGAAAGGTAACAGATAGTGGTCATTTTTGGAAAACTACCACTTTTAGAGACCGTCACATGATTAAATTGTTCAAATCGCTTCACGAAAGATGTCAGTGGACGTTGCTGGTTTCACAAAGGAGCATATGGGTGACTCTATTGGAGTTCAAATTGCCCGCAGAAGGTTTAACAAAGTGTAATTTGCTTGGAAAATGATTCACAAAGAAATCCCAGATTAGTAGAGTCAATAAAAAGTACCGCTTTGAGTTTGAGAAATGTGTTAAGCATTGGTCAGGTGGTACTGTAAATGCTTGACATATAATCAGTGATTTCATTGCGAAAATCTCGCTTCTTGAACCACTCCAAAATGGATTTTTCGACATATGTGACTATTAGACGAATATATTGTCTTTGTCTAGGCCATCTAGTAAGAAATTTATGGTATCGGAGCCAAATAAATTTTATTTGCTCACGTCGTCACATAAGACCTTAACCCGCTGTTCACTTGACCAATGCTGATACGTTTCGCAAAATAACGGGGTTTGTTTTTCTTGACTCTACTGATGAATGGTTCCTTAGTAAAATGTTTTCCAAGCAAATTACACTTTATTAAAACGTCCGCGAGCAATGTGAACTCCAATAGAGTCACCCATATGCTCCTTTGTGAAACTAGCAACGTCCACTATCTTCTTTCGTCAGCCGATTTTAAACAATTTAATCACCTGACGGTCTTTAAAAGTGGAAGTTTTCCATAGACAACCACTATCTGTTCCCTTTCCATGCTTTTTCTGAAGTGAAATCGTGATTCATATCGATTTACGCCAAATTTTTCACTCAAAAGAACGAACCAATTTCAAGCATGGATTCTTATTCTCTAGAGCTTTAATAATAGTTCTTTTTGATTAGATAATAATTACTACTATTATAATATTCGTATTGTTTAATTTCTTCAAGAAACTTTCATTCAAAACGCAATAAAAATCATAAATTTACTGTTATTTTATTGCGTTGCATTTTTTGTGCTCGCGAAAAAAGTTCACTTTTTTCAGCAAATATAAAATATTTCACTTTGCGTAATAGAAATTGAAACAAAATTTCGCTTGTTTGGAAGCCCAGAGTTAAGAGAATAAACAGCAAAAAGAAGAGATGGATTCATTACCGTTATTTCGAAACAGACGAAATCGAAGATCATATCGTCACGCGTTGCATATTTTGTGCTCGCTACTGTATATCTAATAAATTACAAATTTTTTTCAATAATAAGAAAAGAATCGGTTCGTATATATCAAAGTTTATTTATAAGAAAGCATTCCTTTTCGGCAATGATTTGATGGTGAGTATATAAGATTCGGTATGTCTAAATCTAGGTAAATCTAAATAACAACATAAATTATTATATGAAAAACATGACCAGATAATTATGAATATGTATTCTGCAAATAGTAATTGTGAACCTCCTGAGTTCTGTCACGTCTCTTGGCTACTTGTAGATCTATTCGATACTTTGTCTAGGATAATATAATATTTTGCAAAACAATTTCATACAAAGACGATTCGTGGTATTTTCAATTTCATTTATGCCCCAGAACCCATAACCTTACAAGCTCACATTTTTTTTTTTTTAAATCGATGATATAGGAAAAATTCCTCATAGCCTCTGTTGATTCGTCACCAGACGTAATCGGTAGACCAAAATATGAATCCATTAAATAAGCCAAAGATAGAGTACACACTGCTGTAAGTTTGGTATGAACAGAGTAAACTCTGAACATACCCTGACAAAGAAATAAAATTCAATAATATCACTTGCATAAGATACCCTTCATTTATCGCCATGCAACCCAGTATAAACGGGGAGTTTATTCGACACATTCATGAAAAAAAAACATTCGACAGACACGCTCTAGGTATACGGGTGGGTGAAGTCCGTATATACCCCACAAAAACTAGGTAATGTCTTTCAATTGTAATTACTTACCTAACAACATACTTTTCAATGGCTACTATATATCATGTGGATTACACAGAAGTAGTCTAATAAGGTATTGCTAATAGTGTGTTATATAAATACTTTCTAGTTCATTAGTCATCTTACCATTGAAGATATAAGTTTTTAATGTGATTTACAATGACTACTTTCTATAATTACTTATAAGTACTTTGCGGTAAGTACTTGCCTCCAATGACAAGTACTAAAATGCTATTGTGTAAGTAAATTTTAGAATTTTAACCCTTTACATGGTAATGAAAGTTTTTACTGGGTACCTACACCCATCCCGTATAATGTACACTTGACACCAACTCATTTCCATAGTATACATTTATTATCGACGTAAAAACTCCTATAAAGCGATTTAATTTTTGATGGATATCGATAAATATGACCTATTTGAAAATGCAATGCTACTAAATTTTAAAAATGTACTTAGTCCTGCTCGAAAATAACATCTTATTATAGCTTAGAAACATTTTAAAATACCTGTAAAGAGATGAAATCAGCTGAACTGTTTATAAATATACATATTTTCGAAGAATATAGAAAAATATGTTCTTTTGAGAATACAATGCTCCGAAATTCTAAAAAAGGCCTAATTTGCCTACAAATAATCACTTAGGGTAGAAGGGGGATCTTACGCCATAGGGGCACATCTGCCAATAGCGAATAACTTGAAAACTGAGTAATCGATTTTATCGCATTATCAAATTTTGTTTTCGTTTATCGATTATCTATCATCCCTGAAAATTTGAAACATTAACTTTACATGTGGTGGGAGGCAGACATAATTAATTGTTTTTCAAAGGGCTGTGAAAATATTTCACTGTGTGAACTTTTTGTGCTAACTGTTTTAGTTTTTGTGATAGAAAACATATATATTGGTCAGTATTAGAACGTCAATAATAGTGAACAATCAGCAATAATTTGTTTTAATTTTTTTGTTAAGATTTGTGAAATAAACAATAAATATCTAGTTTATTATACTTTGTTTATTGAATTAAAGTATAAAACAGCAAAATAAGTTTTTATTTTTGTAATTTTTTCTTTTATTTTACTAATGACAAATATGCCCCATTCCCTTGGCGTATTTACCCCATGGATGGGGCGGTATCGCCGTTTTTGGTCTGTGCGGAAAAGTTGAAAAAATATGTACATGAGGATGACTTAGGAAGGATTGAAAGGAATAAAACTAAAGCCAACATATCTAAGTATCTGAACCAAGAAAAAAATTAAGAATATGTATTGTGGTTTTAATTTGAGGCCGCCTCAAAAAAGAAGTGGTCCCCCTTCTACCCTACTGTTGTTCTGTACCGAAAATAACGCTAATAATTCGGCTGAAATAACTATTTCCTACGAAATAAAACTTCTTCAAGCTTAACTTGCTCAGAGTATCTATAAGCTGTAAATAGAATTTAATTTGACTAATCAGTGCAATTTATTTGTGTTTGCATTGCATAGTAAGATATATTAGTATTAAACGTGAGGTAATTATGAGGTCTTACTTAATAAAATAAGAAATGAACGAACTTTTTGTTTCCAAAATAATAACATATTTAAACAACAGATCTTATATTTTATAGTTTAGGTAAGATTTTTTTAAAAGTCGAAATGGTCGAAATAAACCAATACATAATAAATTTTACTAATAATAATTTTCCTTTATAGGATTCTAGAACATCCTGGAAATTAACGATTTTATATTATTTATTAAACAGTTTGACAAACAAAAAAATCACCAAATAACAATGTTATTAACAAACACATTTTTATTACCCATTAAACATTGACCATAAAAGAATTAGTCTTAATGCTCCACCCACATGTAATAACAAATTTATTACTTCATGAAAACATATATAGCTTTATATCGTAAAAATGACTAATGATCTAAACAAATCTAGATCATTAGAGAAGTTATTGCTAGAAATTTCAAGTAAAATTAAAAAAAATAACTGAAAAAAGTTTATTTCTTAAGTCTTTTGTTTTTATACACACTTTAACAAATTTCAACATATTCACCACTATTGATGGCAATTATAAAACAACAATAACAACTGTCAAAACATAGTAAAACACACAGAAAACAAAAATAAATAAGAAAAATAAACAAAACAGAAAAACCGGCCAAATAAACAGAGAAAAACAAACTGCTAGTTAAAAAGCACTAAACCACGTGAGTTACGTTGGGGCGAAAAAGTAAAATGGAGAAGAAACATGAAAACAAAACAAAATGCTGACAGTTTAAATATTTCCAGTTGTCAATATTGGAAATATTTGTTTACAAATGAGAAACACAAAACTGTAGACAGGTGAGCACAACAACTTACTGCACTTACTCACGCTCTCTCAATTGGGTTGTTTACCTTCACACACTCACACCAGCATTAAAACCTGTAGTGTGTGTATGTATTTGGCAGCAATTCTTCGGCAATTTGTGCATTTGGTCAAGTTCAAGCGTGGTGAAAAAATACTCATACTATTAGGCCATCAACCAGCAGCCGCTACGGCTTTAACTATTTCTTGAAATAGATTTAACAGCGCTACGTTTGCTATGCAGACCAGTAGTCAGTATTAAAGAAGAAAATGTAAAATTTTTCTTTGTAAGAATTTTCAGCCAATATGCCTTTTGTAGTCATAATAATTAGCTACTCTTTGAAAAGAGAGCAAGTGTTTCTCTATAGTCTCTACTTGAATGCAACTGCTGTCTGTCTGTCTGTCTGGTCTGTTAACTAGTTGCCTAATTTAGCTTTTACAAGTTTTTCAATATAATTTTTCCACATTATATTAGCAAATTTGTGCAATTCGCATTTAGTCTTGCTTTAGACTTCGTGTGAAGTACAACTCCGAATAATAGCTTAGTTGTGGACTCGTAAGTAGTGCTCGGTTTAGAAATAGAAAAAAGTGAACTTAGTGTGAGTGTAATTGGTTTTTAAGCTAAGTGAGCGTAAGAGTGCAAGTGCAATTTATTTTGGCAAAAGTCTCTCTAAGTTGGTTCCTTACCTCACCTCTCACTCTCTGTGGCCCGCTACAAAGCTAGTCTATGAAAGAGTATTTTGTGAGTGTGTGTGCAAATTATACTCAAAACTAGTGGCAGCAGGCGTTTGAATAGAAAACAAAAAATAACAATATAGAGGAAATTAGTTATTCTCTTAAAAAAACTCGCGTACGCTAAACTCTCTACAAAGTAACATCAACAAATTCGTTGATTTCTTCGTCGTTTAAACGGTCGGTCGTTTCTACGTTTACACGTTACGTTTCAAAAAAAAAAAAAAAAAATAAAGACCAAACGCTGACGTAAGCGTCAACATCATTCCCAAACAACTACAACAATATCAAGAAGAAAAGACAAAAATAGAAGTAGTTTGTAGAAGAATAAATTCGCATTTCGTAACCCAAACGTATTTGCACACTTCTACTTATATCTCTCTACTCAACTTCATTATTGTATTCATCATTATTAACTATTGTTGACGTAATTATCTCGTTTGTATCTCGATTTCTTCTTGTGCCGTAGTTTTCTTTTCGATATATATTTTTTTTATTCTATTTGGAATTTTGATGTGCGAACACAAGTTCATCGTGTGGCATTACGAGTCTATGTAGTAAATGGTGAGTATGAGTTTAGTTTTTAGCGCATAATTAAACTAATTTGCAATCAGGTGAAAATTAAAAATAGACATTTGTTTCGTTTATTGTAAAACGAAAGAAAAAAGAATTTGCAACTAATTGCAGCAACGCATATTTTTATATGTATGTGTGTTCAAAAATGAAAACCTGGCTATACAATGTTATAAATCTATTTATATGTACCTTAATTAACACCATTGAATAAAGTATATTTATAGGAAAGATTACTATTAAGTATAATTAAAAATAAAATGTTGATATGAGCTACATAATGATCAAACAAATGTATGTATTTATTATTGTGGTCCACATTTTATATGGATGATGACTCAAAATATTGTTATAACAAGTAAGAAATTATGTTCGGGCATGACCAACCATATAATACCCTACACAAGTTTAGAGAATAAAATATGAAATATTTTTCATAATAAAGCATTTAAGATAGATTGTTCCTTGTCTCCGATATACTTAAGCAATTTATTGATAAAAAACAAATTTTCTGAAAAATTGAGGAAAATGTGGACCGATCCTCATAAAATTATATGGATGGATCTACGTTAAAAATGGTAGCCTGTTAAAAATGGTTTACATCGGTCCATTATTTCACCTAGCCCCCGTACAACTAAACCCGCCGAATAGGGCTTTTAAGTTTATAATTATGTTTAATATACTCATATCTCGACAAAAAGCTGCAAAACCAAGTTATGTACTAGCCTTGATGACCCCCATAAATTTTTTAATTTTAGGGTCTCATTTGACCATAGCCCCTTCAAAATTCGACTTAAATGTCCCCAATTTTATTCAACAATAAATGGCTTAAGTATATCTGAGGCAAGATACAAGTCAACTGAAATGCTTTATTATGGCAACTAAATCACATTATATTTTTGTCAAAGGTGTAGGGTATTATATGGTCGGCCTCGCCCGACTATAATTTCTTACTTGTTTTCTGATTGGGTCTTTTTATGAGGGCTATGGTCAAGTAAGGCCTAATCATTACAAAATGCAGGGTCATCAATGTAAAAATTTAAAACTTGGTTCTACCGCTTTTTGTCGAGATACGAGTATATTAAACATAATTAAGAGCCAAGCACCCATTTGAAGTAATGAACAGATCATTACCATTTTCAATAGGCTTCGTCCCTGGGACAATAGAAGATCTCGTACTAAATTCAATTATCTACAAAATTGCGACCTGTAGTTTGTTTACAAGGTTTGACATGTGCGAGATGTACTATTAGGAAAAGGGTACACGGGGTGGCATATTGTCCACTTTACTCTGAGCAACCACTATTAATAGCCTCCTAAGGACCCAACCTGAGAAAGGACTCAGACTTGTCTGCTATCTGAGAAAGGGCTTAAACCTGTCTGCTATCTGAGTAAGGACAGAGACAATTCTGCTATGCAGACGATGTTGTAATACTTGAAAGGAAAAAGTATCCAATTACGGTCTCATGTTGGGCACAACCGGCGAAGACTGAAATCTGTTGTGACAAGAGAGACAAAAATTGTAAAGTATACTGAACCCTGTTTTCTGGGAAAGAAGAAACCGGTGACTCACAGAGTTAGGTGCTTAGGTGTACTCCTTGAACGGTTGTTAAAATGGAGAGATCACGTAGAGAAGTGTTATTAGACCAATACAAACTTATGCTGCAATAATCTGGTGGACTTCTTTGGACAAAAAGTATTATATCAAACTATTAAAGGTAGTACTTGGGTGGCATGAGCACTGCGTCAACAGGGCTCTGGAAGCGTTGCTAGATATTCCACACATTAAAACATACATGTATATAAAAAAATAAGACAATATTATCGGTGGGCGATCGTATACCAGACAAAGAATATGTCGGGAAACACTGATCCCAGATAGAATGTCATGGTAAAGCGGAACATTAGAGCAAATCCCCGTAGGAATCCGTTGGTACACCGATAGTTCTAAACTGGTGGACAAAACGGGTCTGGGATACTATATAGAAGTATCCCAGCCTCCAGCAGAAGTTCAAACAATAACGGAATACCTAAATAGGACTAAAATAAATATGGCGCCCATCAGGGGTTAACATTTTTATATACTGCCAGAAGGCAATTAGGTTGATATCAGGCGATAAAATTAAATTTAAATTTAAGACCATATTTAATTGAAAGAAAACTTTAATTGTATCCTCTTCTAGAGGTAAGTTTTGCATCATGTGTGTATTAGGCCATTCTTTAGTAGACGGTAAGGCAGAACGTAACGAATACAAAACAAGGGCTGAATCAGAAATATTGAAAAGAGAATTCCATAAGGCCCTAAATGATCCTAAAAATTGCAGGTCGAGAGGTCTTCTCAAAAGGGCGAATTCAGACGAATGTAGAGCATATATAGAGGACTGTAAAACTGTGAAGTATTGTCTTTGTCCAAATATCTTGGAAGTAATATTATTTCAGACATAGCATTCCTCATTAACACTGAAATTGAAAATTCTTAGGAATTACGTCCGGCAAACTGAATTTCTGAACATCGGACGATAGCTTCATTGATCACTAGATAATGTCAAATTTATAAAACATAAGTTTATTCTCAATATCATTCATATTGGGAACGATTCTTGACCCGAACCCCAATAATCACCTACCCTAAAGACATAAAATTCTAATAATATTTGTCCACATAGATTTGGTGCTAGATCTATAGTATACCGAAAGGTTATTATTCTTATTTACACCTAAGTTATTAAAATTAATAAGTATAATCACAGATTACTTAATAACCTTTAATTATTTCTCTTGTTTTCTTCTATTTACGATTTTTATTGAAAAGGTCAACAGCATTACAAAGTTCTTTAACATCTAATATTTCTTAGTAACATTTCTCTCACTCATTCAATTTGAATAGCTATCGTATGACACAGATCAATTATAAAAGTTATAAATTCAAATAATGTCTTAAGACAAAAACATATCAAAAGTTTTATAAATAGCCCCTATTATTTAAAGAAAAGATTTTAAATTTTTCTCTTAATCACTGGCCACGCCACTATAATTTCTTTTGAATAGATTTTATATAATTTTTTTCTTATTTATAAACATTTCTTTAAACCTATCATTTCTTATCCATGACTTATGAATATATCTTAATACAATACCATTGTTAAGCTAATGAATAACGGTGGTCGTGATTTGCTTATTTTCAGAAAATAAATGCTAAAATGTATAAACCAAACATTTAATTACTTAATCATTGAATTTTTTTTTTTTTTTGGTACAAGTAAATTAATGCCAAATAATTATAAACATTTTAAATCAATTTCACATAAAGTGTAAACAACAAATATATTTTTTAACAAGAAGCTTAACAAACATAAAACGATTACAACATTTAAATTACAACATTAAGCAACTTTATATACATATATTTTTTCATACAATGTTTAGTATTATTGTAGGTTGGTTGTTGCGGTTGTTGTAGTTGCAGCTGTATATTCATACAATATATGAACTGTTGCAGTTGCACTGTTAACATTGCACTCGTTACAAATGGTAACAACAGCAACAAATGCAACAACAACAACAACAACAGTAATAATATTTATACAAAAATAAAAACAGCTACTAAACTAGCCAACAATATAGCAAATTGTTTTACATGCAAATTGCTAAAAAAAAACAACAACAGCAACAAAATAATAGCAACAGCAGTGGAGACAAAGATAATAAAACTAAATAACAAGCAGGAAAAATTAAAAGCGGTCAAATCTGACTTTTTGAGATACTACAAATCTATCTACAACTCAAGGATTATTTAGTTTTATCAAAGGATAAAAATACATAAATAGAAACATATTTATGAAAGAAAAACAACCCAAATTTCTAAAAAATACTAAATTTATGTATTGTCCATATTTTGACAAGTAAAGGATATTATATTTAATGTATTAAATCTATTCAATAAACCCTTAATGTTACATCTCCCACTAACAAACACAAACTACTTCAAAATTAGATCATAGTATACGCGCTACCAGATATGTGTAAGTAGAGGAGCTTTATAAAAGTCGAGAAAATGATTGTAGTATTTTGTGAAGATGAGCAACCAACAGCCACAACACAAATAACAATAAAGTGGCGGCTAAGCTTAAATACAATAAATGTTTAACTCTATAAACTACTTAATATATGCAAAGAATGCAGCACAATAACAACAACTACATAAAACAAAGTAGAATACAAATAAAAAAAAAAAAAAAAACATTACCTTCATTGCTTAAGAAGGGATTAAAAAATAAAAATTATTTTAGATTTTTTTTCCAAAGTTTAAATTTAACTTAAAATATGCAGTTGATTTCTGTAGCTCATCGTTTTAGTATTTTTTTGATGGTGTTTTGTTGCACAATGGAAGAAGATATTTTTTTTCGCGGTTAGCTGTATTGCACAGTTTTAAGTATTGCATCAAATTAGTATTTTCACCCAAAATATGTACATATGTATGTTATTGAAACATTGTACATGTATAGAAATATTTCGAAGATTCTGCAAGTAAGGTTCAAAATTTTAAAGCTAAAAAATTATTTTCCTTTGAATAGTTATTATTTAGAATCGTATTTATTTAAAATTCCATCACAACGTACTGTTTAATCTTTTGTCATATATATTTTTATAATTAATATACGAGAGCATATTAATTAACCGAAACTTAGTCTACTCTATCCTTTATTTTATTCTATATTCGAGAATATAACCTACTGTGTAGTAAGTAGAATCCATAATCTGCTCTTTCGTCGAGACTGTGGACGATTTTATTGTTGTGACTATTGTCTTCTCGTTAGTCAGAACTTAACAGTCCTTACTATGTACGGTTTAAAATTATATATAGCCGAGACTATGATCTACTCTAAAGCCGAGAGTAGAATTAACTCTATAGTCGAGTCTATACACAGAAAAAACTGAAAATATGTTTCAATTATCAAAATAATTGTATCAAGCAAGTTTTGCACCTATCA